ACATTTTAGGTATCGATATCAAGTTGTTATGTATAGTATCTTGAATTAAATCTAAATTAATGATTTAAATAATTTATCTAATTTATCCAACAGAATTCTGTGTTCTCTTCTTAATTCACAAGATGCTTTCCATAATCTCTCTCTCCCCCCACTATAACCATTCATCCTAATTTCAAATTGTCACTTCACTGTAGTTTTCTATCTATTATGTGCACTTCCCCTGCATATGAATTAAATTATTAAATCCAATCTGGTTTAAGGGGTTCTCATCTTATATTCCTCCTCAACCTGATATTTCTTCTATTTTCTTATGTCTCATTCCATTTCCGACTATTTATCCAGGCATCCATGATATTATCTAAGCAACATTATTTTTATCTTCCTAAAAAGATTTTACATAAGACCACATCAAACACCAGTTAAAGCTACATGTACTAAAGTTTCTTATTTTACAGAAAACTAAATTACTGTCAACCAGCCTGACTGCTGGATAGATGCCCTATAATGCTGATAAAATTATGATAAATAGATATTTAGTCCAGCAGAAAACATCCATCCTTCACAGTATAAGTTTTAGGTTCTGATCATTCTGTAGATGATATAATGCAAGTTTATTATCTGGGGATGAGATTTTCAAAAGTACAGTAAAAGCTGTGTTAACTGGCATTTTACTAATGAGAATATGTACTCTATTAACTGGACTTTCCAATATCCCCCCCATATGAATCCTCACCGTAGCAATCGGAATTGTTGCCAAGTCTATCCAGCATGCACATCAAGTATTTCTGCTGTTTACATTGGTCAGGGATCTGTGCAGGTCAAGGCAGGCTGCCACTGTGGGCTGGAGCCAGGTCAGTGCCGGGCTCTTCCTGGTGAGGGTGATGGCACTGTGCTCCTGCCTTCCTTGATAAGTATAATTCTCAGATAACCTGAATTTTTAGGTAACCGGCACCCCCCCATCCCACTCATGCCAGATAACAAAGCTTTTACTGTAGTAACCAAATTTAAAAGACCCAATGGAATCTGTGTCCTTAAAATATTTAAAAGATTTTAAAAATCAACGCTAAACCATTAAGAAGGTGCCTATTCAACACTGCAGGTCACTTCATAATACACAACCATCACTATCTACTACTGAAGATGGGATATGTCAAAGCAAGAAAGGAAAAATATTAAATGGGCTTAAATAATCTTAATTTTGGTATTGCCTATATTTTTAGCGCTTGACTTTTCTGACTTAATATTTTAAATACTTGTTTTTATTGTAGTCACATATACATATCCTTAGATTTTGGGGGAGCTAGGAGGGCATCCCCTTTAGTACACCAAATGTGAGTGTATTTTTAAGCTGAAGAAAGTTGAATGCTATTTCTAAATTACAGATAAGCAAGAGCTGATTAAGCAGTACAATAAGCACACTACTGTAGATCATTACAAGACACCTACCCACTTTGGATTTCTGTATCTTACATGTCTCAGATTTAAATAGAATAATGTAACTTCTCCTTTCAACCTTTTAATCAGTCATTCAAAATATCAAATTATCTGAATGTTGTATGATATCTTTTATTACAGAAATACTGAAAAGGTTAGCAAATGTTAAAAGTCCCTTTTCTTTTACAAATTAAGTATTTTTTACCTAAACATCTTCAGATGACCATTAAGTATAATTATCTTGAAAAACCAAGAAGCTCCTATTCCCCATTGCTACTTGTTTCAGATGCTTCAGATGTGGCATATCTCTTATCTCTGGATCACATACAATCATAAATGCCTCTTTTTGTCTATGTGCTTCAGTTAATCACTGTGGAAACTCAGTTCTGAAGGTCTGTAATGATGAACAAATCCCTCCAGTATTGCCTATTATATGCATCTTATTAGAAACACGTTTTATGAGAGTTCTTCAAACAGCTAGGGTTGTCTTTTTTCTCCCTTTCTTAGAGTTCAAGGTACCTGCTTTATCTGATGGCCACTACCACAAAGTTATAGCAACCAGAAAGCAATGAAGCAAGAGCCTTGACAGAGACATGCTTCACTATTACTGTTTTGAAGATATTGCCGGGGGTAATATCTATACTCAACAAGAGTGCTGCCATCTTATTTGGGGTGGGGAGGCAGCATGGGGGAAT